TTTCATTTTAGAATATATTGTTCCTTGTAAAAGACTTGGTGTATTTGCTGCTAACACTGAGATGTTGCCGCATGCATCTCTAATCTGTATGTATCTGATTATTACTAGTCATAATCAGTTGCACTTGGATCCTTGGCACCTGTGTATCTATAAAGTCATTGGGTAGATTTCAATGGTAATGTTTATCATGTCTACTAATTAGGATGACATAAATTTCCACGCTTCCTCCTCAAATATAATACATTTTAAAAATTTTGTGTGTGTGTGTGTGTGTGTGTGTATCACACAGAACATCCCAAACCATCTTATTCAACTATACACCTACTTCCCAGATGGTACCCTCCCATAGCCTCGCTCCCCCGACTAGAGCCCTCATACTCTGATATCCCTGCTACTGTCTGCTGTGTTGTCGGCACCTCCAGCCATTCCCTACTACTTGCCCAAGAAGGTGCCATTTTAAAGCACTAAGAGCTGGCTCTGGAGGTGCTGGCTTATAATCCTGCTCAAGAGTCTGAAGCAGTACTACAAACCCAAGGCCTGCCTGGGATATAGAATGAGTTCCATGTCAACCATGGGAACTTACTGAGACCTTGTCTCAAAACAAAAAGTAAAAAAGGAGGCTGGGGATACAGCTCAGTGGTAGGGGAACTTGCCTTGCAAGCACAAGGCCCTGGATTCAATCTTAGGCTCTGAAATACCAATCAACCAGACAAACAACCACTAATAGACTGGTAATACAACAGCTTACATTATTAGATGATCATCTTATTGCCTGAACCTAGATACAGTATAGATAAACTAGTTCTATGAAAAAAGCAGTTAGAGCTGTGGTGCAGCTCAATGGTAAAGCCCATGTCTAGCATGAGTAAGGCCCTAAGCCTTAAACCCCAGCACTGCAAAAAATAAATAAATAAATAAAAAGAACAGCTATATGTAAAACTATATGTAAATTATTTTTAATTATCTATTTATTTTTATTTTGTGTATATGAGTGTGTTGCCTGCATGTAGGTAAATGCACTGGTGTAATGCAATTCCCGCAGAGGACAGAAGAGGCTGTCAGATCCTCTGGAACTGGAGCTATGGACAGTTGTTAGCTGCCATATGGGTACTGGGATTTCTGCAAGAACAGTCAGTGTTCTTAACTGCTGAGCCATCTCTCCAGCCCAAAACTATATATAAAAATTTTAATTGAATGGTCTTAAACCTCATTACTTGCAATAACTGCCTTTCTCTAAGACTGAGTTGATAATTACTGAGGCTGATTAACGGGTATGTGGAAATTTACTATACTCTTCACTTTTAAGTAAGTTTGAAAATTGCTGTTATGAAACATTTAAAGCAAACAATGACCTTTCTGGGCAGAATGTAAACCCAATTCATGAAGGAGTTAGTTTTACTATTCTCTTGCTCTGAAATCCTTAGTATAGGTTGCACTATTTAAAGCAGTTCTCCAAGCTAGGCAAGGGGGAGCAGGCCTCTTGTGTCAGCAGGAGGACAGGAGGACCACCACAAGTTCAAAGCCAGGCAGAAGAAAGCAAACAAAACTAAACAGTGCTTAACTGACATATATACACACAAATATTTGCCACAACTTTCTTTTTAGATAACAAACCCAAAGCTATAAACATGCACACATATACATACACTGAAGGGTATACAATAGGTACACATATAACAGGATACTTTGGCAACCAATGCTATTAATAGTGAGTTTCTAAGGCTTCCCTACCTATTTCCTGATAGGTACCAAGAGCATCAGTTACTAAGAAAGAAGTAAGAAGCGGGTGTGGTGGTACATGCCTTTAATCCCAGCACTTGGGAGGCAGAGATAGGCAGATCTCTGTGAGTTCAAGGCTAGCCTGGTCTACATAGTGATTTCCAGGCCAACTGGGGCTACAGGGAGACCCTGTCACAAAAGTACCAAAAAAAAAAAAAAAAAAAAAGTGCCGGTTGTGGTGTCATGTGTCTTTAGTCCTAGCATTCGGGGAGGCAAAGGCAGGTGAATCTCTGTGACATACAGGCCAGTCTGGTCTACATATTGAGTGCCAGGCCTGCTGGAGCTACTGGGAGACCCTATCACCAAAAAAGAGAAATAAGTTTCAACTTTTGTAGAAAGCATGGTAAGTACACTTACCTCATTGCAATATTGAGGATTAAATGATACATATAAAGCATTGCCTGGTACAGTACTTGCCATATAAGAAAAAGTGCTCTTCCTTTTCTTTGATTCTTATTTTATTGTTAAAACATTGATATCTGAGGCTGGCATCGTGGTGCACGCCTTTAATTCCAGCACTTCAGGGGCCACTGAGGGCTGAAGAGATGGCTCAGTGGTTAAGACCACTGGTTACTCTTGCACAGGGCCCAGGTTTAATTCTCAGCTCCCATACGGCTGCTAACAAACGTGTGTAACTCCAGTTCCAGGGTATCTGACACCTTCTTCTGATTTCTGTGGGTACTGTGTAACATGGGTGCACATTCGCACATGTAGGCAATACACTCACATGCATAAAATAATTTAAAATAATAAATAAAATTTAAAAAATAGTACAGCAAGAGGGCTGGAGAGATGGCTCAGCAGTTAAGAACACTAGTTGTTCTTGCAGAAGACCCAGGTTCGAATCCCAGCACCCACATGGCAGCTAACCAGTGTCTGAAACTCCAGTCCGAGGGGTCTGACCTCCACCGGTACTGCAGGACATGGAGCACTTACCTACATGCAGGCAATACACGCATACATATAAAATTAAAAATAAAAAAAAAAAGTACAGCAATCTGAATAAAGTATGGACTTAGATTAATAACAACTTATCAATATTGGTTCATTAATTATTAAAAATGTGCCATATTAACACATTGATTAATAATAGGGAAATATTAGTTACCATCTTGTTGCCATGACAAAACCCCTGACAAAGGCAACTTAGGGAAGGGAGGATTTGTTTTGGCTTAAGAGTTCTAGGGAGTATAGACCATCAAAGTAGGAAGGGAAGAGGAAGCCAGAGGTGGCTGCTCAAATTGCATCCACAGTCAGAAAGCAGAGGGCAATGACTGCTTGTGCTCAGCTCATTTGTTTCTCCTTTTTATTTATTCAGTCCTGGATTCCAGCCCTGGGACGGCAGTGACCACAGGTAGAATGGGTCTTTCTACCTCAAAGTAATTTAGATAATCTCTCACATATATCATATATAACTATAGATTTGTTTCCATGGTGATTGTAAATCCCATCAAATGATTTACTATCACACCATCCACATACCCATGTGGATGTTTCTCTGTGAATATAAAGCTGTTCAATCACAGCATCAATACAAAAATACTCTTCCAAAGATAAGCTAATAGAAAATAAGCACAAAACACCATTAATCACTAAGGAATGCAGTCAAAACTACAATGAGCCAGGAATGTGGATCAAGGCTACAATCACAGTACTGAGGAGGCAGTGGCAGGAGAATCAACACAGATTCCAGGCCAGTTGGGTTTACAAAGAGTTCTAGGAACCAGAGAGATGGCTCAGTGGGTGAAGGCACTTGCTGCCAAACCTGAAGACCTATGTTTGATCCTTAAAACCCACATGGTAGAAGGAAAGAATTACAATTGCAGTACCTCTGACTTCAACCCACATGTCAGTGTGCACACTCACCCACCCACACTGAATTGATATATGTAACAAAACAACTTTAGAGTTCTAGGGCTGGGCATGGTGGAACATACCTTTAATCCTAGTGGAGGCAAAGGCAGGCAGATCTCTATGAGTTTGAGGCCAGCCTCGTCTGCAGAGTGAGTTCCAGGCCAGCTGGAGCTATAGGGAGACCCTGTCTCAAGAAGACAAAAAAAAAGAAAGAAAGAAAGAAAGAAAGGAAGGAAGGAAGGAAGGAAGGAAGGAAGGAAGAAAGAAAGAAAGAAAGAAAGAAAGAAAGAAAGAAAGAGTTCTAGGCCTGGACTACAGAGTGAGACTGGCTAAAAAACCAGAGGCAGGGGACCTACAATGCAATGTTACTACATATCCATAAGAATGACTAGAACTCATACTCAATCACAAGATAACCAGAATTATGGTAAACACTTCTATATTGCTAGTGATGGGAAAAACGGTCTGAGATCATGTCTCACAAACCATAAGAGAAAGGCCAGGTGTGGTGGTACATGCCTTTAGTCCCAGCACTGGAGAGGCAGAGGCAGGTAGATCTCTGAGATGGAGACCAGCCTGGTCTACATAGGGAATTCTAGGCCAGCTGAGACTATGGGATGACCCTGTCTCAAAAAAAAA